CCAACATTTACCTCACAGCTTTGGTTAATCCAGCTGGAATCCACCAATCAGGCTGTAAATCTTGGAGTAGTGATGGACCTGAAGCTTCATAGGCTCATAGTAACCAAATCGGCCTTCTATCACCTAAAAAAATCTCCAGCATTAAATGGCTAATGTCCTTGAAAGGACCTTGAAAAAAAATTGGTATGTTCATCTTTAGTAGAGTTGATTACTGCAACAATGTCTTCAGAGGTCTGTCTAAAAAGTGGATCACACAGTTGCAGTTGATCCAAAATGCTGCTGCCTGCGTCCTCAGTCAAACAACGACAGTAGAGCACATTACCCCAGTTCTAAAGTAGTTTCCACTGGCTCACTATTTCTTAGATGATATGTTTTAAAATAATTCTGTTAGTCTGTAAATGACTGAATGACTTAGCTCCAAAAACACATAATTCAGTGTATCAACAACCCAGACCTCTCAGGTTGTCTGGCTCTAATCTACCATGCATACCCACAACTACAATTAAATATGGATTTACAACATTTAGTTCTTATGCTACACTAATCTGAAATAGAAATCTGTAAAAGAGCTGAAACCCTAAAACCCTTTGAAACAACATAAACAAATTATTTTTTCAAAGTGGCCTTTGACCCAGCTATCTAAACATTATTAGTTAAGTGTCAATTCTAACTTGATATCCATTTTTTAATACTTTTTTCATCACTCATTTAACTATTGTTTTATACAGACCTGTTATTTTAATGTGTCACTTTTATTCTTTTTAACTATTTGTGTTTCCTTGATATCAATGCAATGTAATTTCCTTTTTCTCATCTACAGCTTTAAATTGTCTTGCCACTTAAATGCTATAGAAAGAAACTTGCCTTGCCTTACCTATCGGGGACCAAACAACATATTAATGTCCAGAGATGATGAAGAGATGAGGCACCATGAGACACTCAGACACTTGAGCCGATTGCTTCAGGAAAGGGATCATTTCTTGGTTTCATTTCCACATGAAACCCCCAACTAGCTGAGTGAATAATGTCAGTCAGTAATATATTCTGTGATACTGCCATGGATTTTATTTCTAATTCAGAGCCCTTGAAAATCATTGTTAATACAGTTGAACAGTAGTCTAGTTGTAAAAAAAACGAGGGGGGGATGGTGGAATTTTTGTTGTTGCTGTTTTTTTTTTGTTTTTTGGAAGCATACATAGCCTAATTGATATAGTCTATTAACCTAAAACAATATACATGTATGGTTGTTAGATGTCAGGTACACCTTGACGTTGACCAATGCACCTTACAGTAGAACTGCAGTCAGTCCCTGCACTGGTGTGGCAATCAGTGTCACTACATAGATAGGGACAAATGCAGAGGACAAATTTCCCAATGCGATCAGCTTCATAGTCATGGTTGGCCACTTTAATTTTATTTATTTTGCTCAGGCTACTCATAAGCCCACAGCCTCCAAATGTTTAAATGACAATATTATTGCCATAACTGTTAATATATAGTCAAAATTTTACACATTCGTTAATAAAATGTCACAGGGGGATGTTCATTTAAGAAGGGGGAGGATTTATTAAGATTTTTCCAAGAAGGAGGATGCCATCCACCCTCAACTCGTGTACTGCATATGAACTATTGATTTCTTTTATGATCATCACATGTGTATAGTGGAATTGTTTTGAAATCTTCTGTGTGTGTAATTTCTAAGAAAAAGTAAAAACCTGACAGTTTTTTTGTTGTTGTTTTCATGTCATTTTAGTAAAATGGCAGACAGACAGGGAAAGTGGTGGTGAAAGTTGGAAGAAGACTCAGGATATGTTGGCAACTTGGACAAAAAATTAGATTTTATTTTGAAATAACACTTGTTTTTAATGGATTCCTTTTTGAAATTACTCCCATGGCCTTTGCAACCACCTGTTCACAAGGCACTGACTGAACCTTTCAGCACAGATGAGGCTTTGTTTTGTAAAATAATAATCACCTCAAATATAAATAAACGTAATTAATTGTTTTAAAAAAAACAGTTTTTGACAAGCAAATTAATGAAATGAGCAATTGGTCTTTAATATGTTATATTTATATCTCCTTATTACAGCTTTATCACCAGGATTTTTATAGGAGTAATTTGATTTTATTGTTATTATTTATCTATTGCTGTTTCTCTGCTGCACCCATATATGCTTCCTTTTTTGCCTCTGCCAATCAGACCCACTCCACACACCACCATTTCTTTCATTCGTCCCCTCTTTTTATATTGGGAGGCTACATTCATATCTGCCCTTAATATGCAAACTGTCAGACTGACAGAGGGAGATATTGCTCTGAAACATGCAGCACAGTTGGGTAGTGTGGCCTCATAATTTTTATGAATGAGTGGCAAGAAGAAAGGCATTGATGAAATAAATGTAGCAGTTTTCCAGCAGCCATTGAAACACACCAAACACATCACTCTGAACACAACACCCCACTGTGAAATATGGTGGCGGCAGCATCATGCTCTGGGGATGCTTCTTTTTAGCAGGAACAGTAAGATGGATGGAGCCCAATACAGGGTAATCTAAGAAGAAAACCTGTTGGAGTCTGTAAAAGACTGGGGCAGAGGTTGACTCTCCAGCAGGACGACAACCCCAAAACAAAAAGCCAGGTTTTAAAGAGAAAGTTCGGTCAGCAAGGAATAATCAATGGATCATTATTCATGGAGCGGCCATTTTTGCCCAAATATACTAACACCTCCCTCCTGCCATCTTCCTGCAGTGACATCACGGTGCGGTAAGCCTAGCGCCATTCTCCCCGCTTTACAAGCAAAATCAATGGCAACTACTAGACACATCTGCAATCAACAACAGTTATTGAAGATTTCCAGACGACTTCACCATTGAAATTCACCAGAGCTATAGTGAAACTGACAATTCCCTCATGCATGGCAGATCGATGTTGTAATATATCCGGTAAAAGTAAAAAAACAAAATCAGTTATTTCACCTTTTTGTTTTATGATCCTCCATGGACGGAATCATTGTTAGATTGCCAACTCGAAGAGGGAGGATTTGCCATTGAACTTCTGGCCAGAGAAAAATCACGTAATATGTAGCCAACATTTGGAAGAAGAATGTTTTCAAGATGACTTGGATAATAGCGCGTTGTGACAAACACCAGATACAGCAC